CTATGAGGAAACTTGTTTACCCAGAAAGGACATTTCTTCCATGGTCCAGGTCCAGAGACATCGAAGCAGCCGCCTGCAATGGCGATGCAGCCTTCCTTGCTGTGCGAGTGCAGCAGGTGGTGATCGAGTTCATACTCAGCCATGTGGATCAGATCTTCAACAGCAGCACGCCTGGGGCTCTGGAGAAGGATGGTAATGAGTCCCTCCACCTACTGCACCAGCCTGTCCTTGCTGGTGCTAGTCACGCAGGCCAAGATGAAGCAAGGGTGGGGTGGCTTGTGGTTTTGAGGCATGTGTGTGGGTTGTGTGTGTGCAATGTACTAGTGTCTGGGGATGATACATACATGCATCATATGTACGCAGCAAAGGGATAGTGTGTGTGCATGTGGCCAGAGCATGTTTCCAATCAGAGGAGGAGAACTGAAGTAATTGTACTTACTGAGTTCTGAAGGTTTTTTTAGTTTTTATTTAAAGGGACTAGCAACATTTTTTCTTAATGATTAGGTTTCATCTTTACTTGCACTGTAATATTTCAGAAGATTCTTAGGGCTTCACCTACAGATCTTTGTTTCTTTGTTTGGCTTTGAGACAAGGCATACTGTGCCACTGAAACCAGGCATGGTGGTGCATGCCTGTAATCCCAGCACTGGGGAGGCTGAAATGGGGATCACAAGGAGTCTGAGCTGTGTAGTGAGGCCTGGTACCAAATATGTAAATTAAAAAAAAAAAAGAAGCACTGATGGAGAAGAAAAGTTTTGTACTGTTGATTGTCACATCACTTCCACAGAGCGAGGTGAAGGGTTTCACTCCGTCCATTAGCAGATGGCCAGGAACAGTTATCTGTGTCACATGTGCTTTCCTGTAGTGACAGAGGCCTGGGTGTCCTGGGCTACGCAGAGGCTCTAGCTTTCAACTGCCTTGGAGCACGTGGTCTCTAGCTGTGGGAGGAGGGGCCTTACCCAGCTGAGTTACCCTGCTCCTGCCTCAGCCAGCTGAGTTAGGCCACCTCTGTGATTAGACAGACATTCACATCTGGCCAAAGTACTAGGCAGAATTTGGGGGAGTAAAGAGCCACTGTTGTTGCTCTGAATCACAGTAAGTGTCCAATAGATCTTTATTTAAATGGATGGATGGTGCCTCTTTGGAAAGTACTGACAGTTAGGTTACTTCCCAAGGCCTCTGTTTTTGGGGGACTATGGATTTAGTGCATGCATGTGTGTGCGTGATACTGAGACTGAGCCCAGGAACTTCACACAGAACTACATCCCCAGCTGTTTTTGAGATAGGGTCTTGCTATGTCACTAAGTTGTTCTGGCTGGGTTGAAACCTGTGATCTTCCTGCCTCAGCCTTCCATAGTACTGCAGCTTTCTCCTGGACAGAGTTCTTCTCTTTCCCTTGCAGAAAACCAGCCCATGGTGAAGAGCCTCACCTTACCCGCCTTGTCCCTTCCCATGAAGCTGGTAAGCCTGGAGGAAGCTCAGGCCCGCAGCCTGGCCACGAACCACCCAGCTCGGAAAGAGAGGAGGGAGAACAGCTTGCCTGAGATTGTGGCCCCCATGGGCGCCCTCTTCCACACAGTCCTCGAGTTACCAGACAGCAAGTAAATGCATTTCTGTGACATTGGGCATGCGTGGGTGGTGAGATAGAGGTGGAGCAGGAGGAGGCTCAGGGCCATGGTAGCATTGAGGGGTGTGGTCTAGTGACTGTCAAGAAATGTCCCAGAAGACAAGAGAGTCCAGAAGACAAGACTCACCATCTCCTACCACAGACCCCAAGTCCCAGGCTGGGGTGGCATCACAGGTCATGACTGAAATCCCTGACTTCTTAGACAAATTTCCTTACAAAAGGAAATTTACACAAACAAAAGCTTGACCTCCCCTACTTTAATCTCCACCCCTTCCCTCATTACAAAGGTGTGGGGGTGAATCTCAGACCCAGTGCAGATGGACAATTGGTGCCACTCTAGACTGCAAGGGCTTGGGGACATGCCTCCGGCTGCTAGCCTCCTCCCAGCCTGCCCAAGCCATCCCTCCCTCCACAGCAAATCAAACTTCCTCCACGGCACCCATCTCTGCCCTCCCCGAGTCTCTCTCGGGAGAGGCAGCATCTAGAATAGGTGTCCTAATTGCTGAGCAGTCGTCTCACAGGAGGTGTCAGCCTGGCCGGTGGGTCAGCAGAGAGACCATGAATATGTACCTGAGTCAGTTTCTGCCAGACAGAGGTTACAGGCTGTTTCGTGCTGGGGGCAGAATGAGGGCCATCACCCTGCATGTCAACCTGTGTGCTAGAGGCCTGGGATATCTGGACTGTTCCAGGAGAATCTGTTTCTGTGTACCTTGCGCCTCCTGGAACCAAGCCCACACACCGCTTCCTACCCAGTGGAGAATAAGATGCCTTCCCAGGGACTGGGAAGAACTCCCCAGAAGTACCACTGAGTGCATCTTCTTTACGCTTCCGGCCCACCTCTGGGGTCCACCACAGTGCAAGCTGTGGCTCCCTGTAAAGTACAGCAAGGCCATGTGCTTAAAAACAAACACAGGCCAAGTCTAAAGGAAGCCCAGGCACTCAGATCTATTTCAGATTGATCATAAAGACAACTAAACCACCCTGATGTAGAGGTGCGTACCTGTAATCCCAGCACTGTGGGAGGCTGAGGCTCAAAAATCACAAGTTTGAGCCCAGGTGGGGCAATGAAGCAACTTAGTGTGACTATCTCAAAAAATAAACAAAGCAAAAGGACTGGGGATGCAGCTCAATGAGCAGAACCTGGGTTTAATCCCTAGTGGTACACACACATACACTGTAAGCCTATAATCTGGATATACTGTGTGAATCCTTCAGAGGACAAACCCTCTGTGGGACTATAGGTTGCAGAGTTCTACCCAGAGCTTTTCAGAGTCCAGTGGGTGGGCCTGATGGTCTCAAGGCTTGCCTCTGTGGTGGCCCCTGATGGTGCCAGGGGCTCCAGACCCAGCCTAGTGCTGCCCCCTCCTGCCCAAGTAGCAGTTGGGAGACAAAGCCCCAGGCACATGCCACCCTCTGCATTTGCCTGCAGTGACCACTGAGTCATCCCAGCACACCAGGCCGGACTCCTCGGGTCTGTGTTCTCTCCCCTCACTTTCTGGTCTGTGACAATTTTCCCTCACCCGCACCTCTCCTGTGTATGTCGCACCAGTGCAGCCATCGTGCAGGAGATGTAGCAGGACTGGGGTCTGTGCTCTTCAGTGTTTCCTCCTCTAAACAAACAAACAAAAAAAAAACAAAAAAACTGGTGTCCTTGAAAAGCTAGGACTATAGCTCTTACCATAATTTAGAACTGTGTGATTTCTTGTGCCCTTTGAGCCTCCCTCCAAGCCCTATTTCCATTTGCCTACCCCTACTCCATGGTTCTGGCCAGGGCAAGGGTTCTTAGCTCTGACTCATGATAGCTTGGGCACCTAGAGCCCCCAGACAGGGTGAGATGAGAGTCAGGCTCAACCTGGATTGTGCAGGGGAATTTCCTGAAGTATCAGAGCCACACATCACAAAAGAATATGATTCGCATCTTCCTTTTCAATTGAAAAATTCCTTGCAAGTGACAAGTTACATTAACCGCTTATGGTTTGGCTCTTTTAGGAGAAAGCTTTCCAGTAAATCAAAGAAATGGAAATCTATATTTAACCTGGGCCGCTCTGGATCAGACTCCAAGTCAAAGCTGAGTAGGAATGGGAGTGTGTTCCTCCGAGGACAGAGGCTCTCGGGTAAGACATGGCAGGAGTTCATCGTCTGCTGAAAACGTTTTCTTTTCTAGGTCTGTTTCTTAAATCTTTGATTTGATTTGATTTGATTTGATTTGATTTGATTTGATTTGATTTGATTTGACTACATCAAAATCATTAGCTCTTTGGGGCATGGTGGCACACGCCTGTGATCCCAGCACTCTGGAAGGCTGTGAACAATCACAAGTTTGAGCCCAGGCTGAGCAATTTAGTGACTAAAATAGACTCCCTGTCTTAGAATAAAAATATTTTTTGGTGAGGCTGGGGGAAGGGTCTATAGGGTGTTCAGGGTCTCACTACTAGATCAGGCTCGTAGTTGTCTGCCTGTTTACAGCCTCCCAAGAGCTGGGATTACAGGCTCACGCCACCACGCCCAGTAGCAGGCCCAGGGGTCAAACTCCCAGCCCCTGTGCCTGCTTGCAGGCGCCTTAATCCGCTGAGCTATTTGACTGGCCCTAGAATAAAGATATTTTTAAAGGGCTGTGGATTGTAGCTCAGTGTGAAGACCCTGGGTTCAACCCCATTATCCCCCCAAAAAAAGTAAAGAAAAGAAAATCACTAGTCCTAGCCCCAAAGGAGAAATTTCTCAACCAGTGGATCTTTTTAAAAAAATAATAAAAATCATTTTTTTTCTTACAGAGAACCTGTATGTACTTCATACAGCTTCTCCTAAGGCTAACATATTCATAATACAATTATTGCAGCCAAAAGATAATACAATCTTTTTTTCTCTCTCTCTCTGTTGGGGGTTGAACCCGAGGCCTCACACATTAAGTAGACATCTACTTTTCCCCTGAGCTACATTCCCAGCCCTTTTCATTTAATTTTGAGACAAAGTCTAAGTTGCCCAGGTTGATCTCAGACTCTGGAATCCTCCTGAGTAGCTGGCATTACAGATGTGAGCCACCTCCCCCACCTTAATTTACAGATCTTACTGGACTTGACCAGTTGTGCCACTAATGACATCCTTTCATCTGGTCCAGGGTGTGATCCGGAAACCCATATTACATTTGGCTCTCAAGTCTCTTTATCTCCTCTAGTCTTCTTGGTCTCTCTGGTCTTGATATTTTAGAAGGGTACAGGCCATTTATTTTGTAGAATTGTACTTCAGTGTGAGTTTAATATTTTCCCATGGTTAGACTGAGATTACAAATTTTTGTAGCAATTCTGTGGAAGTTATGCTATTCCTGCCCCAATGTGTGGTTTTAAGAGGTATGTAATCTTATTTGTGATGTTAACTTTTATCACTTGGTTAAAATGCCATCATGAATTTTAGCATTAACGGATAAGTTCTTGCCTACATTATTATTACTGTGATCTTTCCAAATGGTGTTTTTCTGTTCATTGAAATTCTACTCTGAAAAAGATCTTTCTGCTTTCCCTTAGGGGTGTGATTTTTAAATAGGGGTGCTTTCCCCATGGAGTTTATTTCTGAGTGAATAGAAATGGATGCAAGATGGAAATGAGGGGGCCACTGTGTAATACAGAACGTAACCAGTGCCAGTGAATGTCAGGAAAGCAGAGACCAAGGAAACTTTCCACCGTGATTTATTTAGTTTTACAAATTGAAAGTATGATTTTTAAAATGGGGCAATAATTATGAAAGCAAGTTGGACTAAAAAAAAGAAAGCTATAAAAGATAGTTTTAGAAACCAATAAGGAAAATATAGATATCAGCTAACTATTAGATAACATTAAGGAATTTTCAAATATGTTCATGATGAATGAATTTGAACAATATGTGCTAATAGTTCTTAGAAAGCATACACTAAAGTTGAAGAATTTAAGAATGAAGAGTCAAAATATTGAAACTCACTGTCAGATAATTCAGTGAAATATAGGTAAGCAGATAGATGCAGATATAAAAATAAAACAAATTGAAGTATAAAAGTATTGAAGCTCAGTTTCAAATAATTCAGTGAAATATAGGTAGGTAGATGCAGATGGATAAAATAGATAAAGTGAATGTGTGGAAAGTGTCAATAATTGTCAAAACTAGCTATTAAATTCAAAAGTCCAACCTTTCTGATTGTTTGACATTTTTAATAAGTTTTAGGGAAAAACTAATGCCTATAGGAAAAATAAAAGGAGTAATTTTAAGGACTTTCTTTAAACCCAGTGATAATTGCTTACTGAGGTCAAAAGGTACAGATGTTAGAAATCGTCCTGCTTACCTACTACAGTAATGAAGGATGTCCTAGTACACGATTTTCACTACAAATCACAGCAAATCCAATTCAAGTGACCGATAAAAGGAGGGGACTTAGCGGCTTCTACAACTGGACATCTGGATGTAGCGAAGGCTTCTGGTGTGGTGTAATACAGTAGCATTTTCTCCATTCTGTTTTCCTCAACTGTGCTATCCTGTGGGCCAGCTTCCTCCCATAATGGCTTCTTTTGCTGTGGCAAAGGTTTGGCCTTTGACTATCACTGTGTGTAAAGAGAAAGAACATATATTGCTGGTGGTTTTCTTCTAAGAGCATGGTCCCTTCCTCCCATGCTAATAAGTCACGTGAGTCTCTGTGGCCAGAGCAGTAGTGCGTGCTGATCGGCTTCGGCTGGGCTCCGAGTCCATCTGATGTTATACCCACGAGGGGCGCAAGCCCTTAAGAAGGGCAGAGGAGAAGTGGATTCTGGGTAGCAATCGATCACATTCATTGGACAGGGAAACATATCTTTCACAAAATGGGAAGATAGCCCACGTGAAAAAGATAGGCTGCTACCACTTGGCAGGATAGATACAAATAAAAAGATTCGGATTCTCAAAAAAAGAATGGGAGAGAAGAATACCTGACAAGAATCTTTTGATCCACAATAAGAGGTTGCTTAGTTACCTCAAAAAGAGAATTTCAGTGAGAGCAATGTAAAAGGCTTACCAGTCATGAGACAACAAAAGCTAATAAAACAAAACAGATTGGCAAAAATGAAATAAATAATCTGTATTGAGCTTTAGTTAGAAATATTTCCACTGCCATGTGGTTGTCACAAAGAACATGTCCAAGGTGGGAGATCAAGAGTATGTAAACTCACAGGACATCCAGGGTCTGTGCCTTTGAGTTGCCCAGGGAACGTTCCCTGCTTTAGCAGTTTGGCCCCAGGTCTGTACTGAGGTGTATCTGAATGCTGTAAAGACTCCCCAGGGGACTCCACTAGGCAGCCAGTTTTAAAATTATGGGTCTAAGATCTTATGAACACACTAAACAGAGAGACAAAGAAGTCACCAAACTGGTAGGGCTGTGATAAGGCACAGGATGAAAGTGAGAAACCATCAATACCAGTGGTTCCCCTTGTCCATGACTGTTGCCTGAGTGGCTACTTTCTACCAGAAGATCATTTCTGGGAAACTTGAGAACTGAAGCTTATGGTCATAATTCTAGGGAATCCGCACTTAAAAAAGGTGGGCCACCAAACCGTATGACACAATCTAGCACTGTGGCCACTGTGGTATATAAGCTAGCTATTTTTTCAAAAAAAGAGAGGTAAAATTAATGGGACAACATATGTAAGTATTTCATTCCATAACTAAAGGTATTTTAAAAATTGATTCACTAAATCATATTGAAGGTTTTTATTGGAGGTTAGGTAGGAAATAGAGAAGATTTGTTCAAGTGTTAGAAAATTGAACAGAGATAAGAAATAAAGGGTAAGAGAAAGTGAACCATTGACAGAATAACGATGCATAATGCCAATGCCTGAGCAGAGCCACATGGCTGTAGTAGTTATAGGCCTTTCCTTTAAGTGAAATGGCCAAGAGAATGGACTGCAGAACACAAAAGCTGCCAGATAATGGGAGCGAGATGCACTTTGGAGGCCAGACCAATGTCCCAGACATAAATACAGTCATGGGCTAGGGAGTCCTGAGTTCTTAGTTACTACCCAAGAAAAAAATTAGGGCATCCTTGGGGTCTGTGGAAGAAGGCTACAGCTCTGGTGTGCTGTTGTGTACAAGGCCACAGGAAGTATGGTGTGAAGAATAAGATCAAGGGGCTGGGCATGTAGCAAAGAGGCTGGTAGTGTGTTCTTTCTATACAGAGAAAAACAGAGAGACAGAGGCAGAGAGAGAGGAAGGAAGGAAGGAAGGAAGGAAGGAAGGAAGGAAGGAAGGAAAGAGAAAAAGAAAGAAAGAAAGAAAGAAAGAAAGAAAGAAAGAAAGAAAGAAAGAAAGAAAGAAAGAAAGAAAGGAAGGAAGAAAGAGAAAGAAAGAAAGAGGAAGGAAGGAAAGGAAAGAGATAGAGGAGGAAGAGAGAAGGAGAAAGAATACAACACCAATGGTGGACATCCATGTCCTGCAGAGAACTGCTCCCCCTCTATGACACTCAGGGTCACCTCATCCTGGCCCCTCCTGGTCAGTGGAAATCAGAGAAGGTCAGAAACGCGGCTCCTGGAAAACAAAAGCAAAGTGCATCTCCGAACGCACGGATGAAGAGATGCCAGATAGGCAATTTTAAATAATAAATTCATTTCTAAGCTCATAGAAATAGCACTCTTTTAAAAATAAGAACTCCTGGCACACTCCTGAAAGCAAGGAGGTAGAGCCTAAGTGCTCCCATTGCTGAGGGTTGGTGGGAAGATGGCTAGACCCTGCCAGGGCTGCCTGGTCAGTGAGAATCCCCAGGCTGAAGAGGCCAGCGGGAGAGACAGAGCTCCCTAGGAGGAGCACAGTTTGGAAAAAGGAAAAGGAAGGTGGGGAACTCTAAATGAGGGACAACAAGTATGAGTTATGGCCCATTTTGGGTTAGGGTCAGGTCAAACTGCTTCTTTTTTTTTTTTTTTTTTTTTTTGGTGGAACTGGAGATTGAACTCAGGCCCTTGTGCTTGCCAGGCAAGCACTTATTGTACTGAGCTATCTCCCCAGCCCCAAGGTGCTTCATGTTGAACCATCTCCATCTCCCTCTTTGTTGCTGAGCCCTGGTGGATCCTGTGTAGCAGCAGCAATAATCCACAACCCTGCCTCTTCTTGAATCTGTGCTCTGTTCCAGGCTGGTACAACGTAACGACGTCAGAGTCACGTCTTATTTTGTGTGCACATCAGCTCTGTTTTGCTCCTTTTACACATAAGAGAACTGACATTTAGAAAATGTAAGCTGTTCATATGAGGTTCCATGACCCCAAAGTAACAGGTTGGGGTTCAAACCCAGATCTGTGTGAGCTCAGAGTTACCTTAGTGGTGCTAGTTCTGGGCACTGCCAGGCCTTCAGTTGCCTTCTTTCTCCTCCTAGCAAGTGGGACCTAGAAGGACCTACCTCCAGGCCCGGCCAGGTCCCTGGAAAGAGATGATGTTTGTGAAAATGCCTGTCTTGGTCTGTTTTCTGTCACTATAACAGAATTGTGAGGTAGGATTATTTATAAAGAACAGAGGTTTATATTGGATCACAATTCTAGAGGTCGGAGAGTCCAGGATTGTGGCACTGGCTTTCACTTGGCTTCTGGAGAAAGCCTCAAATTCAACTTCTGGTAAAAATGGACTAAAAGCATGACAGTGGAGAAGAGAGAAAAGGGAGGCAAATTTTTATGATAGCTAAACACTTTCTTCAAGAATGGTACTAAGCCAATCATCAGGGCCCCACCCCCATTCCTGGTGGGAACTGCATAGTGAAACCCTGTCTCAGAAAGACCAAAGGAAATTTTTTTTAAAAAATTGGCCTACAGGTCCAACAAGATAGCTCTGCTGACTAAGTAACTGCTTAGGCAAGTGCAGGGACCAGGGTTGGATGCCCAGCACCACATGCCACACTGGCCCTGGGCTCACTGAAGTGGCCATCAAGAATGGGTGTGGTGGTGCAAATCTGTAATCCCAGCCCTGGGGATGCTGAAAACAAGAGGGTCACTATGAGTGCATAGTGAGACCCTGTACCAAATACATTTTAAAAAAAATTAGGCATGGAGCCAGGGAGATGGCTCAGTGGAATAAACACTTCCTTGGCAAGCACAGGGCCTGAGTTCAATCCCTGGTTCCGAAAAAAAAAAATTAGGCTCAAGGCTTGGGCGATAGCTCAGGGCCTAAGCAACTGCCTGGTAAGTGCAAGGTGCAGAGTTTGATCCCTGGTACTGCATGTCATGCCTGCGCCAGAACCCAGGGTGTACTGTGCTGCCCCGAAACCAGGCATGGTGGTGCACAACTGTAATCTGAGCACTGAGAAGGCTGAGACAAGAGAGTCACTACAAGTCTGAACTGTGTAGTGAAACCCTGTATAAAATAATAATAATAAAAAATAATAATATAAAATAAATAAAAATTATGCTCAGCACTCCACAATTACTCATAGCTATTAGAAATTGAAATCTACCTCCATCTGTAAAATTTTGATGAAGCTTTATGTATTATTGCCCTGTTTTAAAAAGGTTAGACCCTGTAAGAATGCAGAAACAGCAGGATTCTGTGATGCATGCATGTGTATTCCTTGCACGACTCAGGAGACTGAAGCAGGAAGACCCTGAGTTAAAGGCCATACAGCGAGTGAGTGAGAGAAAGAGAAAGAGAGAGAGAGAGAGACAGAGAGAGAGAGAGAGAGAGAGAGAGAGAGAGAGAGAGAGAGAGAGAGAGAAAGAGAGAGACAGAGAGAAATGTTTGAAAAGGATATACTATAAATGCTTGAAAAAACTTTTTAAAGAAATTTCTCTTGTGTGCTTACAGCCTGACCTA